GTCCGTTTTGCTTCCGTCCCCTGGAAATAAGGAGACTCAAAACACATCCTAGTCATTTAGCTGCGCAATCTCCTTAGGGGTTTTCTTTTCCTTTTTTCCTTTGTTTTCAGCCTTGCTCCTCTTACTCGCGTCTTTTGACAGCTTAAGCAACAACATTTCATGACCTATGACGTAACCACTGTAAAAGGGTTTCCAATTTTACCGGAAGTAGGCCTCAGCTTTTTTAGCGCAAGGGCGCATTTTCGTTTTTCCGTCGGCCCAGAAGTTTCAAAATAGGTTAAATGTAAGCGAAATAACATGTTGAGTTCTTGTTTTTAAAATATTTTAACACTTAATAAATAATCTCCGCCTTCTTAGAACTCCCTCTTCCCGCCCATTTCTGTCCCGTTTCCGGCCCTTTCCTCTCCTTTCTCCCGCCCCCAATTCTCCCGGGTTCCCGACGCCTGTTCCCCCAACTAGGAAATTAACTCGACTGAGAAATTAGCCAGAGCAACCCCACGCGCTTGCTGTGGGAGAGGAACTTGTCACGGGTTCCAAAGTAACGTCGGATCTGCTACAACGGGAAATAAAGACAATCAGAGAACTTAGACTTCACAAGTTTATTCTTCGTAACTTCAACTTCGATGTCAATCGAATTACACTGAAAAGAGTACTTTACTTACAGTAGCGAGGAATAAGATTGCATCAACTTAGGTACATTTGCCTGAGGGCTGAATAAAGCCAGCTTGAAACCTGAAAGTAGCCTGACCTGATAAATTAGCTGCACATTAAATAGAGCCAGCTTGAGGGCTGGATAAATTCAGCTGACGAATGCCTTTTTAATTAGCCTTTATCACAGCACTACTTAAGTTGTGTATTTAAATGCGATGCTCTTTCTTGTGAGTCTTTATAACGTAGATCAAATGTATGAATTTTATGTATTCTTTTTCATGGAATGTTTAGTTGGTTATTGAGGATCACAACGGATAAGTTTCATTCCTGTTGTCCAGTCTTATTTTGCTTAATTTCTTCATTTATGAATACAATTAACGTAAATTCTGGTTGAGTTGTTTGCTTTGAAAGCAAGACAAAATGGTCAAGAACATGAATTCTTTAAGCTTCTGTGAAAACAAATATTAGACCAATACAGCTTATAGCATCCAGTTCTCGGAAAAGTGTTCCCAGTTTCCCGGAATCTACAATGCTACGCGAGGCAAATGTCACGGCAGCACACGCATAAATCAACCAGTCTTTTTGACAATTAATCGTAATTTCCGGCCTGATGCAGATGACCGTCTATAGTTAAACAAATTGGGTCATTCAAGTGAAGTCAATTTTGTGGGAATTTTGTAATGCGAGCTAATTTAAGAGGGTTTCCCACGATAGGGAACACATCCTTCGCTCACGCTACAATCAGCAGACAAACTGACTTGTCCTGTGATCTTTACGTCACATGAGTGAACAAGGGGAATCCCCGTATCAAGTGAGCTCAAGTAATTCAATGGCGCCTTTTGAAATGTAAATTTTTGGTCCTAAAGGAACGTAGCTCAAAACTCGATTTAACGGGAAGAAAATCTTCTTTTAACCGTTGAAGGAACAGTATTGAATTATAATTCCAACATGGCTAAACAAACTACTATGATATATCTATAATTGAAAAAAAGAATTGGGACGTTTGAGCGAATATTAATTTTTTTTTGAGTGCTGGCAATATGTGCTATTTTTCCAGTTTCGGCAGGCACGCAACTTGTGTCGAGCGGACCGAACTTCAATCAATCCCAGAAAAATTCAAATAGAATTTTTAATCAAATAAAACTCATTTTAGTGATTGACTAGGTAAGGGCCTCAAAATCCCAGCTTATGAGAAAAATCGAATTTTCGAAGTAGGTCGGTTTTTACAGAGACAGCCTCTTAAGCCTCATTTCTCAAAACGACCAAACAGATGGATCACCAATGTTTCAAACATGATATCTCCATTGGGTTTGAACCGAATGTTGTCAAATTTTCAGGAATGTTAAAAGACAATCTTCTAGGTCGTAAACCTCTAAAATTTGCAATTTATGAAATGCTCTTCCAGTTATTCAGATAATAAAGTTAATGTATTATTCAATCTTAATAAACGTTTCCAATTTTAACGAGGAAAAATAACCTCAAAACACTGTTTTCGGAGGCTTGTCCTCTGGATAACTTCCTAATGGACAGGATGAACTTAATTCCATGCTTCTCGAACCCTTTATTAGTACGTTATCGCGTTTATAATTAACACCGCTTTTTAACACTTAATTAGGAGCTAGTTATTCATTAACTTACGCAGCATGTGACCTGGAAAAGTTCATTTTTGAAGTCAGAGTGCGAAGTCCTTGACGTGGTGCCAAAATTGTCCGACAGAGTTGTTTTAAAAAAACGAAATAATAATCAGATTATATTTGTCGATTTCTAAGTATAGTAGGATTCTGAGAGGAAGGGAAAACATGGTGAAGATCTTGTCATTACTAATGCATTGAAGTCAATTGATAAAAATCGATATCTCAAATAAGTCGATCCAATCGATATCACTGTTCGATCGATATTGATTGATATTGTAAAAGGAAACCCCAAATGTCTGTAATGACCCAACGGCGGCCGTCCCTGTAACAATTTTTTTTTCTTAATTCTTTTAGCGATATCGCACGCCCCCACCATCCTCACCTCAGAACGAATCCCGTAACAACACGAGACATCGTTTTCTTCCAAGACGCTCAACATCTCCCCCACGACTCGCCAGATATGTCCAGGATTGAACGCTAATGAGATTCAAATTCCTTATGATAAGCGTCACAAAGTGTCCTCGTTGGTAAAAAAAGTCACCAGAACACACACAATGCTGTCAAATATGAAGTAATATGAAAATGCCAAATAAGCCTGGCAAATATGAAATAGTGATTAAACAATACTTGCGTTCAATCCTGGACATAAGTGCGACTCGCGAGATCTCCACGAGAACGTTCAAGGTTCTCACGTGGCCGGCCCATGGCTCCACACAGGAGAGTCGCATCGTTTGAAAGAAAACGTTCAGATTCATCACAAAAGCGCTCGGCATCACCACACAAACGTTCAAGGTCTTCAAGAGAGCGGTCGTACCCTCCACGAAAGAGATCGAAATCTCCACGGAGAGCCTCAAAGTCTCCACGAAGGAGACCAAAGTCTCCACGAAGAAGCTCGAGGTCTACAATTAAGGAGAAGATCGAAGTCTCCTCGAAGGCGATCGAGGTCTCCTCGAAGACGCGAATGCTCCATGTCTCTTGACACAAGCAATGGCGTCTAGGCCCAGGTGGACCAAGAATTGTTACAAAGAACATTTTGTGATGGTGGAGGACGCGAGAGTTTAACGAAAAGCAAAATGAAAACACTGTGGGAACGAAATAGAGGCGAAAGTACTGACAAAGACAACGAGTCGACACCCAGAACAACACGAGCCTTTGAAGAAAAACCAAGGATAGACGATAAAAAGACTTCCTCTGTTGATTATCAACTACGAGCTAGAAAACCGAGTGATCCAGAGCCATCTGACAATAACATTGACAGAAACACGACAAACCAGAAGCGAGGTAAATATCAGTCGACTAGTGGCAGTGATAGCGAAGGACAGGAAGAAAATGAAAAGATTATTCGCTTTCAGAGAAAAAGAAGCAACCTTGAAGAAGAAGAGAGCACAATGACGAGATTGCAGTCGAACGGCGCTGATCGGAATTCACGAAGTATAACTCGTGAGTATGATGAAGATAATAACACATGCAGGTCTTTAAGAAAAGGAGAAAATAAGTCATACAGGCAGATCAAACGACTTGGATAAACTTGCTGAAAAGCACACAGAATATGCTGAGAGTGACAAAGATTTCATTCCACGCAACAGGCATTGCCTTAAAGAAGATAAATCACTTACAAACAGTGATAGCTCCGACAGCGATGGTGAGCAAGAGGTGAGGCGTAGTGCCCATGAGGGGTAGGGTAAGGTAAAACGTCAGGCCGTGTTAGGAATACTGACCGTCCTCAGCGCAGCCGCAGTAGGAGTGCTGAGAGTGGCAGGAACCCTTCTTATGAGAAGAACCGGAAGTCGCGTCATTATCATCATCACCATCTTCATCGTCGGCATCATCATCGTCATCATCGCAACAGAAGCTCCACTCCGTCAGAAAACAGGGCTGAGGAACAGAGAAACCGCGATAGCACGAGCTGAAGGAGCGGACTGTTAATATTTGTAATAACACCCTAAGTAAATATATTAATGTCAAACATTCACTGAAATGCAAAGCAGACTTATTTTAGGACAGGATGCTGAAGTGTACTCGAACAATAGGCTAAAAAAATTACTTCATTTGATAATATGTAGCTTCGCTTTCTCAAGGAACACAAGAAAGCAAACACATAACTAGTTTTGCTACTCTCGTCATTACTGGTTGAGAGGAGAAACCGCGTGATTACCAGAACATGTTATGTTTTTTGAACACAGAATACATGAAAACCAACAATTCAATGAACGTTTGTCGTGACGAGACGATAGTAGAGCTATCCAATGTGTGATTTTTCGCTAAGCGACCCTTTTGCGTTTTTGAGCTCAAACTGTTAGATCTTTGACAATTGGTGTGAGACGAGCCAAGAAACGGAAAAGATAATCACCAAAAGTTGTAAGGAAAAATGGCAATGAAGCCTAAGTTAGAGTCAGTTTCTGAAGTAAAGTGCGCTATGGCATCGAGGATGTTGATATTGATGTTGTGGTTGATTAAAATGTCTTAAAAGTTTTGAAGTTTTCAAGCAGCCCGCGTTTCATCACGTGACAATCATACAGCAGAGGTTGCGTTTTTCGGTCTTGTTCAGTTACCATGGAAACTGACTGATCAGAACGATATCCTGAAGACATGACTTGTTTGAGTTTAAACATGTAAATTCAAAGCATTTTGAAACAAATGACGAAACTTTTGATGAACTAATTCATATGAATCCATAAAGCTCCAATTATAAGCCCTCACCACCCGCCTCGTTAATAAGTGCCCCGGCTTATTGGCTCATCTACACGACAATCAAATCAACTATTTCCTGTGTAAGCCCCCTTCCTCTCCGCCACGTTTCTAAGCGACCCCTTCTTGTTTCGTCAATGTCACAACTCTCAGAACAAGTAGTGTACGACAAGATTTATCGTTAAACATGTCAAATACCATAAGGAAACTATTTAGTGTTTTAAGTATAAGTGTACAACAGTTGCTATAATCTGTCGTACAAAAGCAACACTTAAACAGGCTTCAACTTGGGCTTTATTTGTGTTTGTCCGAATTCCGTTTTATTGTTTGCAGTTGACAACAGCTGCGTGAGACAAATAGTTTTACAATATACTCAATCTTGTTTGAAAACAAACTTACGACAATTAATGTAATACCTGGTAAGGGTCAACAGTCTCTTCAGTCTGGGTCACTAATGGATTTCTTTTGAATAAAATGTTTGAATGCCGCACACAGGACGCGTCGGGATTTTGTTTAAAAACTGATAATGTTTGGTGAGTTCATATCTGGCTATGCTTCTCAAAAAGGTAGAAACATCCTCAGCCCTACAGAGGTCCTACAGAAACCCTTTTGTAGCAAGTTTCCGTGATCGTTTGTTGGTGTTTCAATTGATTCATCGCCTTCAGCAAAGTACGATTATTCAATGCTCGGAATAAATGAGGAAAAAATGCATCCTTCAATCTAGATCATTATCAACTTATGAGTTTTATACCTTAATTACACATGCCTTCCTTGATCTGAGGACATGAAATTCGGGTAAAAACTCGTAACAAAGTCACTTTTATACAGCAGTACATGCAGCGTCACATGAAAAGCACTTTCATTGATATGAAGGCGTCTTTGAGTCTGGACGGCTTGGTGTGTGACTACCATGTTATGATCGAGCAGCTCACTTCAAACAATAACAACTTAAATCTCTGCCATGCATCATTACTTTGTTCAAACTCACTTGAGCTCTCAGTGCCACAACACGGCAGCTTTTCTTTCTACTTGAGCCTGTCTGCAAGGTGGATTACTTTCTCTCAACTCTTATAGAATAAAACGTATTATGAATTACGGTAATATGTGATGTCCCAAAACTTTCGATTTCCCGCACATTTTGTACCGCTGCCTTTCACGTGTCGCCTAATATCGCTTCATATTTGGCCCATTTGTATGTGAAGAATTAAACAAAACTAAGGAGCTCGTTCAACGATTTCTTTGATTTTGTGTTGGTAAGATTTTGGTGAAAAACGAGTAGGAAAAAGTGTTAACATACAAATGAGAAGGGAATAGACGACAGCTTCGACTTTTTAAGGATTTGTTTATTAGCTGAGCCTGGGGCAAAATGGCTTCACTCTCTTAGTTTCAAGTGTTTATCTGCAGTGTTTTACGTCCATTCCCCATTTAAAAAATTTATGTCCTGGTTACTTTCTGGAATAAATGAAAAGATAAATCAACCTTTTTACAGCTAATCTTTCAGCCCTTCAGACAAAGTTCCGTTCCTGTTTTTCAAAGCTTCATAAGCCTGAACATTGCGTCAGCAAAATTCATTTCTTAGTCTTTTGAGAGGCACTGGACTAGAACTTTTTTTAATAACTCTTTGTTTCGATATTCTTATAGATAGATACACCTTTTGATTCGTTCATTTTCGTATACAACGCCACTGCAGAGCATAGACTCGTGACTGAGCAGAGAAACAGAACAAAACGATTTAAAAATTCTTCACTTGACGATTATGTCTTCCATTGCGATAGCTGTGTTCAAAGTCACTATTGGTTTGCTAGTAAATAAAGGCAGAGATAAGGCAGCGGAGAAGCTTAAAGATGGCGACGTAACAGATCAACAATTTCGTAGATTGATCGTCCGTGAAATCGACGATATGAAGTCCAAGTTGGATAGATTATCAAGGAAAGACTTGCTGGCGAGTATCAGCTTCTTTGAGGAAGGAATCGGGTTTCTGTACAAAGTTTTTCAAGAGGCAAGGATCACAAGCGGAAACGGCGCGGCAACAACACAAACAGTTTGTGATGAAGCATTTTCTCTCGCCAAAAAAATGAAAAAGTTGGAGCTTACTGACCTGGATGAAGCAGCTAGGAGGGCTCTTTCTAACGCAAAGAAGAGATTCGAAGATTCTCGTAGAAAAGCAACAGAAGCCTTTAGTAATGAAGGTCTAGAAACGTCTGACCGTATTCTAGCGATGCAGTATCGAGTTATGGCCACAATACTAGAGACAGTAGACAATCCCGAGGACGCAATAGAACCCTGTAGAGTGTGCCTTAAAGATCTTAATTCCCTGTCAGCAGTTCAGAATAGTTTTAATGTTCAGCTCAGGAAAGGCATTCTAGCATTAAAGGGTTTGGTTGGTAAAGATGAACGCAGGAATATCATTTCCAGTGTCTGTCACGTGAATCGTGTTATCTACGATGTCACGCAAACTGTCGGGAAAGACGTTCACCTCTGGATCTGGCCCGCTGTTGATATCGGAGAAGACAAAGTGGATCCATTGCGTGACAGACGAGTAGCTAAAGTTCTGTGTAAACAGGGTATGGAAAACTGTTTAGTTACACCATGGTCATTTGGTCAGGAGGGGGAAGAGGAGCACAAGCTGAAGAACCCCCGTGGAATCGCTACAAACTCCAGCGGACAATTCATTGTTGGAGAGTATGAAAATGACGTAAAGATATTTGACCCTAGTGGTCAGTTCATAAAACATTTCAGCGTCCCTAATGATGACGCTGAAACAAAGTTATATATTTATGATGTAGCCACAGACAACCAGGACAACATCTACGTACTGGTCAGATACGAGAAGAAGACTGGATCTAAGGGATTTGTTGTTTATGAATTTAGCAACACCGCTGACCTGCATCACAAGTTTCCTGTGAGGGGAAAGTTCTGGGACAGACTGACAGTCACCAACAGTCAAGTACTGGTACTGAGCGGCTCTGGTATGGTTGTGTACGATACTGATGGAGTGTTTGTTCGTTCTTTTGGAGAAGGAACATTGAAGGATGCGAGTGATATCACTGCTGCTAATGATGGCCGTGTTATGGTAGTGGACAATTATGATTCCTGTGTTCACATATTCAGTGAAGACGGCGTCCATTTGAACAAGTTTAAACTCCAAGGACGTTATTGGTATCCACGAATTGCATTTCACCGGGGGGGTGAACATGTCGTCATCGCTGGTAAGGAAGGAAAGCTATTCGACCCTGGTCTCCTGCATGTGGAAATATTCACCAAAGATGGCGACTTTGTGGGCAGCACTCAAATCCGTGAAGGAATTCGCTCCATTAGAGGAATGACAGTGACCATGGATGGACGAATTACTGTACTTCTGAAAGATCTCGATGACAAACACGAGGTACTTGTTATATAGAACATTAAAAGTAATATGATGTTATGAGGCTGTAACTGAACATTTCCTTGTGTATTAAAAGAAAGGAAATTAGCTACAGAACGCAGGGCCACTTTGGACCACCTCGTTTACACGTGTCAGAAAGAAGCATAATACAATAGGCACTTTTATGATTCAATGAGATGTAAATAAGTGGCCCTGTATTTTGTAGTTTCCCTAAATTGGATCTAAAATATAACCATTAGCTAGGGAAAGTGATCCTAATGAATTTTAGCAGCAGTTCAATTTACTTTAGAGGCATCACAACCAGCGTTTTTCTGTCATGCAATTAAAACTGAAGTAAATTTATAGATTAACAATCGATCAGTCAATTACAGCAGTGTCTATCACCCTCCTGGGCAATAGCCAGGCATTCTGCTCGTGTCTTAATCCTAGTCATTCAAAATTTTATCTAAATCCTCTTCACAGACACATAAAAAATGTAAAAAANACGTTCAAGGTCTTCAAGAGAACGGTTGCAGTCTCCACGAAGGAGATCGATATCTCCGCGGAGAACCTCGAAGTCTCCACGAAGGAGATTAAAGTCCTCAAGAACAAGCTCGAAGTCCCCACGAAGAAGCTCGAGGAGATCGCAGTCTCCTCGAAGAAGCTCGAAGTCCCCACGAAAAAGCCCGAAGTCTCCACGGAGAAGATCGAAGTCTCCTCGAAGGCGATCGAGGTCTCCTCGAAGACGAGTACGCTCCATGTCTCCTGAAACAAGCATTGACGTACAGGCCCAGGTGGACCAAGAATTGTTACAGAGAACATTTCGTGATGGTGAAAGACGCGAGAGTTTAACGACAAGCAAAACTCTGTGGGAACGAAACAGAGGCGAAAGTAGTGACAAAGACATTGAGCCGACACCCAGAACAATACGAGCCTTTGAAGAAAAACCAAGTAAAGACGATAAAATGACTTCCTCTGTTGATTATCGACTACGAGCTAGAACACCGAGTGATCCAAAGCCATCTAACAATAACATTGACAGAAACACGACCAACCAGAAGCGAGTTAAATATCAGTCGACTGGTAGCAGTGATAGCGAAGGACAGGAAGAAAATGAAAAGATTATTCGCTTTGAGAGAAAAAGAAGCAACTTTGAAGAAGAAGAGAGCACAATGACGAGATTGCAGTCGAACGGCGCTGATCGGAATTCACGAAGTATAACTCGTGAGTACGAAGAAGATAATAACACATGCAGGTCTTTAACTGAAGAGGACAAAATAAGTCATGCAGGCAGATCAAACGACTTGAATAAACTTGCTGAAAAACACAGAGAATATGCTGAGAGTGACAAAGATTTCATTCCACGCAACAGGCATTGCCTTAAAGAAGATAAATCACATACAAACAGTGATAGCTCCGACAGCGATGGTGAGCAAGAGGTGAAGCGTAGTGCCCATGAGGGGCAGGGTGGGGTTAAACGTCAGGGTACCCATGTTAGTAATACTGACCATCCTCAGCGCAGCCGCAGTAGGAGTGCTGAGAGTGGCAGGAACCCTTCTAATGAGAAGAACCGGAAGTCGCGTCATTATCATCATCACCATCGTCATCGTCGGCATCATCATCGTCATCATCGCAACAGAAGCTCCACTCCGTCAGAAAACAGGGCTGAGAAACAGAGAAACCGCGATAGCACGAGCTGAAGGAGCGGACTGTTAATATTTGTAATAACACCCTAAGTAAATATATTAATGTCAAACATTCACTGAAATGCAAAGCAGACTTATTTTAGGACATGATACTGAAGTGTGCTCGAACAATAGGCTAAAATAATTACTTCATTTGATAATATGTAGCTTCGCTTTCTCAAGGAACACAAGAAAGCAAACACATAACTAGTTTTGCTACTCTCGTCATTACTGGTTGAGAGCGCAGACCACGTGATTACCAGGACATGTTATGTTTTTTGAACACAGAATACATGAAAACCAAAAATTCAATGAACGTTTGGCGTCACGAGACGATAGTAGAACTATCCACTGTGTGACTTTTTGCTAAGCGACAGTGATTTTGCTTGATACCGTTTTACGTTTTTGAGTTTAAACTGGTAGATCTTTGACAATTGGTGTGACACGAGCCAAGAAACGGAAAAGATAATCACCAAAAGTTGTAAGGAAAAATGACAATAAAGCCTAAATTAGAGTCAATTTCTGAAGTAACGTGCGCTGTGGCATCGAGGATGTTGTTGATATTGATGTTGTGGTTGATTAAAATGTCTTCAAAGTTTTGAAGTTTTTTCAAGCAGTCCGGGCCGCGTTTCATCACTTGACAATCAAACAGAGGAGGTTGCGTTTTTCGGTCTTGTTCAGTTACCTTGGAAACTGACCGATCAGAGCGATATCCTGAAGACATGACTTGTTTGAGTTTAAACATGTAAATTGAAAGCATTTTTGCGACAATTCGGCTGGCTCCATAAAACTCCAATTATAAGCCTTCACCACCCGCCTCGTTAATAATTGCCCCCGCTTATAGGCTAATCTACATGACAACCAAAACAACTATTTCCTGTATAACCCCTTCGTTTTTAAGCGACTCCTTGTTGTTTCTTCAATGTTATTCCTAACAACTCCCAGAAAAAGTAGGGTGTACTACACGACTTTTTTTATCGTTAAACATGTCAAATACCACAAGGAAACTATTTAGTGTTTTAAGTATAAGTGTGCAACAGTTTCTAAAATCTGACGTACAAAGCATTAACTCATAAACAGGCTTCAACTTAAGCTTTATTTGTGTTTCTCCGGAATTGGTAATTCCGTTTTATTGTTTGCAGTTGACAACGGCTGCGTGAGACAAATAGTTTAAAAATATATTCAATCTTGTTTGAAAACAAACTTAAGACAATTGACGTAATACCTGGTTAGGGTCAACAGTCTCTCCAGTCTGGGTCACTAATGGATTTCGTTTGAATAAAATGTTTGAATGCCGCACACAGGACGCGTCGAGATTTTGTTTAAAAACTGATAATGTTTGGTGAGTTCATATCAGGCTATGCTACTCAAAAAGGTAGAAACATCCTCAGCCATACAGAAGTCCTACAGAAACCCTTTTGTAGCAGGTCAGTTACATGCTCGTTTGTTGGTGTTTCAGTTGATTCACCGCCTTTGGCAAAGTACGATTATTGAATGCTCTGAATAAATGAGGAAAAAATGCATCCCTCGATCTAGATTATCAACTAATGAGTTTTATACCTTAATTACACAAACCCAAGAAGGAAAGTTATGAAATACTGTTCTTTGATCTGAGGACTGACATGAAATTCGGGTAAAAACTCGTAACAAAGTCACTTTTATGCTGCAGTACATGCAGCGTCACATGAAAGCACTTTCATTGATATGACGGCGTCTTTGAGTCTGGACGGCTTGGAGTGTGACTGCCATGTTATGATCGAGCAGCCCACTTCAAACGATAACAACTTGAATCTCTGCCATGCATCATTACTTTGTTCAAACTCACTTGAGCTCTCAGTGCCACAACACGGCAGCTTTTCTTTCTACTTGAGCTTGTCTGCAAGCTGGATCACTTTCTCTAACTCTTATAGAATATAACGTATCAATGAAGTACGGGTTATATGTCATTTCCCAAAACTTTCGATTTCTCGCACATTTTGTACCGCTGCCTTTCACATGTCGCCTGATTTTTGCTTCATATTTGGCCCATTTGTATGTGAAGGATTGAACAAAACTAAGGAGCTCGTTCAACGGTTTCTTTGATTTTTTGTTGGTAAGATTTTGTTGAAAAACGAATAGGAAAAAGTGTTAACTTACAAATGAAAAGGGAACAGACGACAGCTTAAACTTTTTAAGGATTTGCTTATCTTTATTAGCCGAGCCTGAGGCAAAATAGCTTCACTTTCTTAGTTTCAAGTGTTTATCAAGTCAACTTTTTTAGGGCCAATCTTTCAGTCCTTCAGATAGAGTTGCACTAGTGTTTTTTATAGCTCCATAAAGCTGAGTGAACATTGCGTCAGCAAAATTCATTCCTTAGTCTTTTGTGAGGCACTGGACTAGAACTTTTTTTTAATAACTCTTTGTTTCGATATTCTTATAGATAGATACACCTTTTGATTCGTTCATTTCCGTATACAACGCCGCTGCAGAGAATAGCTTCGTGACTGAGGAGCAAAACAGAAAAAAAAAGATTTTAAAATTCTTTACTTGACGATTATGTCTTCGATTGCGACCGCTGTTTTTAAAGCCACTATTGGTTTGCTTGTGAATAAAGGCAGAGATAAGGCAGCGGAGAAGCTAAAAGATGGCGATATAACAGATCAGAAATTTCGTGGATTGATCGTTCGTGAAATTGGCGATATCAAGTCTAAGTTGGATGGATTATCAAGAAAAGATTTGCTAGCGAGTATCAGCTTCTTTGAGGAAGGAATCGAGTTGCTGTATGAAGTGTTTAATAAGGCAAGGTCCACAACCGAGCACGGTGCGGCAACAACGCAAGCCGCTTGTGATGAAGCATTTTCTCTCGTCAAAGCAATGAGAAAGTTGGACCTTACTGACCTGGATGAATCAGCTACGAGGGCGCTTTCCGACGCGAAAGGAAGATTTAAAGATGCTCGCAGGGAAGCAACGAGGGCCTTCGCTAATAAAGCTCTAGAAACGGCCGACCGAATTCTAGCAATGCAATATCGAGTTATGGCCACAATACTAGAGAAACTAGACAATTCCGAGGACGCAGTAGCACCATGTAGAAAGTGTATTGAAGAACTTCACCGTCTGTCAGCTGTTCAAGAGTGTTTTAACGTCGAGCTAACGAAAGGCTTACGGGCTCGATTTGGAAAAGACGAGCGCAGGAAAGTTATTGCCGACGTCTCTCACGTGAATTTCGTCATCTACAGCACCACCCTGATTGTCTGTTTCGGTAATAA